TAAAGCCGAGTTGTATGACCATGTATAAGCTTGAGATATTCTGTCGGTTAGTATGTTGAAATAATCATAAGAAAGATTTGACTATGATACACGAAAGAAAAAAACGCTTAAGAAACTTCATCGAGGGGAGGAAGAAAAGCTGAACCCAAGTCTGACCGAGCCTTACTGAGCTCAACCGAATCAAACCGAGCCCGAGCCTGACCGAGCCCGAGCCCAACCGAGCCCGAGCCCAACAGAGCCCGAGCCTGACCGAGCCAGAGCCTGACGGAACCCGAGCTACTCGGGCTCGGTACATGCCTATTTGTGACGTATGATTAACCGGGAGTGTTGACCATATGTTAATAAATAAATACGAGAGCTTGTTACTTTCGCCTAATTATCTTTATATAATTCATTGGCGCATTATAGACGAAGCCCAACAGATTTTTTATAACCAGTCTAGTCCAACTAGTATAAAGCTCTGTTCAGTGTGGTTTGACGGATCATTTTCGAAATCAAAACAAACAGACAAGCTATCAACGAGTATAAATGAATACAAAAGTGACTTGTCCGCAGACAATGGCAAAGAGAATAGGTTTTGATATTCACATGTAGAACTCATAAGGGAAAAGGCAAAACTTAGCCTATGCCACCTGTGTTTGTTAAAACTAACAGTTAACCGCAGTTCTGAAAAAAAACGCTCATTAATCGACGGTTTTGTAAAATTGACTCCGAGTACTAAAAAATATTAAAAACATAATCATTTGTTTGTTCATAGTTTTTGAAAGCTAATCAGTTAGAATCTAAAGACTTTCTAAGACGTCAAATTAACCTGTGTTCTAACGATTAATTGCAATTTTGACGAAAGAATTTTCGATTAATAACGATTCAACAGCGACTTTTTGAATATTTCCATAAATCATGATTAATCAACAGTATTATAACAAAATGATCAAAAGGAATTATTTTATAAAAATTAACTTTTTATACGATTGATGGTGGTTGTCGAAGAGAAAATAATCTCTTTCGCCATTCTCAAGACATTTGCATGAGCAGATGCTAAATGATGGTCATAAACACGCCACTTGCTACATGTGTAATTATTTCAATTATAGCCGGGCTAAAAAACGTCAGTTGAACGTCAGTTTTCGATCGGTTTGAGCGACACGAAAGACAACAAAAAAATCATCGCCATATCACATTACGACATATGTCAACAGTGCAAGCTGAATTTCGAGAAGAATGAGATGATTTAATAAAATCTGTTTTTCATGTTTGTCTTAAATGTATTTGAGCGAGGATTACGCGATATGAGTGTGAGAAAAGAGATAGCGATCTGACGACAGAATGTAGAAAGAAAAGAAAGACACCTGTGCTTTTCTCTCATTATTGACGCACTTTATTAGTTTCTTGTTTCTGATTAGCTGTGCAAGCACACGCAATTATAAGCTGTAGGTCTTATGAATCATTCTCTTCACTGTAGAATTCGACAGGATAACTGATTGCCGTAGATGCATCACCATACGCATGCAACAAGTCTTTGGGTGAGTCTTCAGTTCACTCACACCAGCACATCAACACTCCAGTAGACTATATTTTCCATTTTTTTAAATTGAAATGCAAATAAGCTAATAATTTGAAAGTCTCTGTAGTAAACTTTTCCGAGTTTGAATAAAGATTCGAACACTATATCGATTATATTTTTTATATGCAATAAGGCTTCTCCTTTTCTATGCATAAAAGTCTGTGATTTGACACAGAGAAAAACTTAGAACAGTCACAAACTTCAATAATATTTGGAAATACGTGTATTGGTTAAAGATGGTTTGGATTAGTCGCAGCTATTCGAGTTCATAATAAATAACTGTTTCTACCGGCTGAGATGATTTAGTACAGATATCGGAGAAGTTCATTCATCTGAATCCTTTTTTTAAGGCAGGTCAATATTAGTAGAAAAAAAAATGGAACGCTGAAATGGGCCATTTGATTGACACCTTCAGGAAGAATATCGTTTACATGTATGTCTCTAAACTTTTCAGATCTTCATAGTAGTCGGATGTCATTGGTATTGGAAAGATATGACGGTATTTTAAGTTGTAAATTATTATCATTCACAAAGCTGTCAAATGAACAAGATCAGATGAAAAGAAAAGAGAATGAAGTATGTCCGGGTCAAACAATCAGATACTAAGATCTGACAAGATCCTACATCTGATCTTGTAAGATCAGATGAAAATGATACGGTAAATCATATTATAAGATTGTACGAAATCTTATGCAATGGTAAGAATCTTTCAAGAATCTTATAGCACAACTTGGTGTAAGAGTTCTAAGGCTACGATGTTTTGTACGATTTCATCTGGTGTTACAAGATCATACCTCTGATCTTGTGTGATCTTGAAAGATCTTGGCATTCGATAAGATATTACGATAAGATTATAGGAAATCTTATGTGACAGTAAGGTCTTTCAAGAATTTTATAATACGATCTTGTGTAGGATTGCAGAGACGACGATTTTTTGTAGGATTGCGTTCTATCTTACAAGATCTTACGTCTGCTTTTTTTACCTGGGTTGCGCTCTTGTTCTAGCTCGATATTAGTAATCTTGATAAAAGATTGTAACTTAGAACCAAAGAGAGTACTCACACGGGTTTCGTGCGCTGACATAGATTGTTTCGGCAGTTTGATCAGCGATGAGTTGACCGTCGCTGAGTCGATCACCATATAAATAGCATGCTCTCTGACTGGCTATAAAAGTGACAGTCTGACAATAATTTGATATGGAACAGGCCGTGAGACATTGTAGTCGAGTTTGGCTCCATACTTGTGCACTTGCCAAGCATGTAGAATAACGCTGAAAACGCATTTCTGGTCTGGTAATCATCTTAAAAGATCGAACATTGGTTTGATTAGCTGCCAAACAACTTGTAAACAATATTATCACAAGATATGCAAGTTTCATGTTGGCATAAACGTTATTCAAAAGTAACATTTGAATAAGAAACAGGTTTTTTCAATCTTCTAAGAGGGTATGCGCACAACTATGTGTTCTGTATTAAAGTAGTGAAGTGAAATCGTCTTTTTCTTTCTTTTTCTTTCTTTAGTTGCAACATAAAAAGTAACAGCTTGAATATGAGAAAATAGCAACCAACGAAGCGGAGCAAAAAGGAATATGACTTTTTGGAAGTAACGATGCAATATAGAAAAAGCTTTTGTACAGAATGGTATACTTTAATGTGAAACGCTTTATTCACAGATGTAATAAATAATAGTCGATGTCAGTTAATAAAATATTTTTTTGTCTTCTTCTTCACTTGATTATTTCGTATGAAACATGCAGTAAATTTGGCAAGAACAAAGAGAAGCTATATATACAATCGCCGCTCCTAAGACAACATCGACGTGGGACAGTATCAGTAGTATGTTTGACAATGCTATTGGTCTGAATTGGGGTTACGCTCATCAAGTTCATGGGCTAATAATTATATCGATGAGAAGATTTCAACATTCGTTGCTTGTTCGCCTCCTGAAGAAAATTTCTAATGTTTCCGTACTAGATTCTTGATAGATCCAATAAAGATCCTGCACGAAATTGATCTCTTCTCTTGAGAAAATGGCTAAACTCTGAAAGAAACGTATAGTCACCAAATAAAAAAGACTTTGACAGGATTTAGAACAAGATCTTATATGGATGTGAGTATTTATCTTCTCATAACATACACCCACGCCCACACCGCCACCCACCCACCCTCCGATTCAGCGCATCTTGCTCTTGTTGAGATGATTATGAACCACTTGGCTTACATCTGACACTCTCATTCAGAAGAAAAACGACAACAAGTCAAGTATTACATGAACACGCAAATTCATAATCGACTGGACCGTTGCTGCAAACTTTTGATCGATCTTTTGAATTGTCTCCTGTAGAGTTCTGATGGTAAAACAAATACAATAAAGACAATAGCTGATGGTACGAACGAAATCAAATAACCGAAAATGTATAGCCATGAATTATGAGATTCTTTGACACATCCAGTAAATAATGAGGTTATAAAACGTGGAAGTGATAAAATGACTACAACAATCTGACTGATGATTAAGTGTTTATGTTGATAGAATTGTTCACGAAGATGTCTTGTATAGTTGTGTTGAGTGCGAATCCCTGCTTGTTGATGAGCAACTGCAAAAATAATGAAAACAGCTGACAAGAGATTGGCACTGAATGGTGTAAAAAAATGAAAGAGTAGTATGGCTATATTGAAATTTTTGACAGATTCAGAATGACGAGTTACACACCAAACACGTTGTTCTTCATGATTGTCGAACAAATCTCGACGCGAGGATTCGTAAATAATTGTACCTATAATCAGGCTTGGTATGAGTAGAATCATCCATCGAGCTACAGATTTGCTCATCGTCCTATCGAAATTGATTCCTTTAAATACAGTTACTGCTCGTTCTATGGCCACACAAGCATTTAACCAATTGTTCATATATAAGAAAAGTTTGAGAACAGGTTCAAGAAGAATATATCCAATATGAAGAATAGAACGATTGATTGATAAATTGATTTGACTTATGACAACAAACCAAAATTTTATTGTTAACATAGCTATTGTAAGAGCAGAAGTAATTGATGATGCATATATATATATTCCACAGCCGACTTGTCGTGATTCTTGACTATAAAATGTTATAAAACATAAAATACTATTGAGTAAACCTACGATAAACATAATCATTGTAAGAATGGCACTCACTTTGATCAAATATGATTGATCATTAAAGTTGATATTCGGCAGAATTGCATAACGTAACATGTCATCAAGTGTTAATCCGATACCTTTAGCATAAAACTGGCATCGATCACCAAAGAAACAATCCATACAAATGCATATTGTATTAGAATTACATATAGAACTATCTTGTAAACATGTTCCTCCATTGTAACAGTGAATATTATATTGACAGAGAAAGTTGTTTGCATAAGAAAATTTGAAACAATTAGCGTGGTGTTCTTGAGTACAAAAACACATATAAGCTTCGTCGAAAAAACACTGAAGATCATGGTGAGTTTGACATGAAATATGATAAAATTTCACTCGTTGAATTTTAGGCATTGCAAATTGTGAAGAATCAAGCAGCTCATTGATTGATAAACATTGTCGATCGGGACCGATCGAAGTTGAAATATTTAGTACTTCAAATTCTTGAAGAACAGCTAAATAGTAATTCGTATCAATTTTAACAAAAACGATTTGAAACCAATTTTCATTGTACAATGTTATTTGACGTTGAAACATAGTCAATTTTTGTAATTTCACCGATGATGATCTCGGTGGTTCAGAAACAGCTGCTGAATAGATAATAACAAATAGGTACGGTGGAATAGTCATATTGTGAACGGAAATAGTTAGCTGTCCTTCAGGAAGTTCACATTTCGGTCCATAAAATTGTTCGGAACAAAGGCAAAAAAAGCTTGTTTCGATCATTCTTTGATCAAGAACAACGTATCGACCATTGTTTTTGCAGTAATTGATCGGACATGAATATTTGAGAAGACAACGTGACCCAAATTTACCCGAAGGACAAACACAAATCGATCGATTCGCTATTGAACCAACACAAATCGAGTCAGATGAACAGTCACTACAATAAGCACGTAGATGACATTGAATTCCGGACCAACCTGAATAACATTTGCAAAAGAATTGCTCTTTATTGATATATTCCATGCAAACACCATTGTAACATGAAAAAGTACAATTATTCAAACTCGAAGGTTGATAAGATGGAAGAGTGAGCATGGTAGCTAATCGATTGACAGGTAGAAAAAGAAATGGAATATTCAAATGCCAACTAGCAAGATACGTCAATGAATCCTTATCGAATGCATCAACACGAATACTATAGTTTTTCGAATTGTTCTTCGGTCTGGTAGAATATAGGAGATAGCTGCTAATGGGTTTTCTACAATTGATTGCAGGCACATAAATAGCTTGATTGTATGAATTGATTTCTTGTCGATCATCGGCGTCATCGATAAGGATGATAACAATGGCATAAATACCATCCATATCGACTGTTGCTACTGTCAAGATAAAACTGACACGTTGATTTTGATATTGACAGCGATCACCATAATAATTCTGTGGACAAAAACATCTGTAACTGTTATTCTTCGACTTAGACCAAAGATAAACAGGAATACCTCGATTACAACGTGTTGACCATGTGAAATATTTAGATATCGTTTTGTTCCAATTCTTATTATGGTTGTATTGCTTTATTGACCAAGTCGGTTGAGAGGAAATCATTGTGATGTTAACACGCGGATAGAATTGTAAATTTTTCAGTGAAAATGGTATCCTTTCCATATTAACAATATGGCAAAGTACATCTTGCACATCGTTAAGATTCTGCATTGTCCATCGGTCACATAATTGTAACCGATTGTTACAAAACTCTTCATCGTCACCTAGAGGACAATCTTCAATTGAATCACACAATTCCGAAGATTTCACACATTTTGTACTATTTAAACAATGAAACTCATAAATTCCATTATAAAAATTCACTTTTCGACAATATTGAAGTTCATTCGATGCTCTAAGACAATCAATGAAACCATCAGTAATTTGATGAACTGACAAACATGTCAATGTAAAATTGTATGGAGAAACACAGGGAATAAATCTTGAAGGACAAATCGATTCTACACAATTCTCTTCATCATCTCCGTTTGGACAACTTCGAATGCCATTACATCGTGTATAAATATTGTTACATTGCCAGTTTTGACAATCAGTGTCATCCGTATGATTTTGTTCATCAATTTTTACAGGTAATGTATCAACGATTCCATCACATATTTCATGGAACAAAATCTCATCGAAACTACGATACATCAAAGAAGGACACTCGAGTTCTCGAAATAATGGCGATCGACATTGGATTTCATTTGGACACATAAAACGTTGTGTATCCTTCATCGAACAACTGAGTTCAAATGCTGTTTCATCATCATTCAAATAACAATCGGAGATATTGTCGATGATTCGATGTGGAGAAATGGATTTCGATGAATTCTTGCATATATACAATGATGAATTTTCAGAAGAATTTCCAATGTGATATGCATTTCGACAACCATGAAAAAATGGTTTGACTGAATCAATGATCGATTTCCAACTGTCGTATGTCATATTTAATTCGAAACCCATTTCATGGCCATGTCGACAAGCATAAATTTCATGACAAAATGTAGGAATGAAAAAATCGCACAATTGTTCATCATAGCAAACATAATTAGGTACGAGAGCTGAACTGATATTTACATAGGATATATTTTTCGAAACATACAGAAAACGTACGTGAGCGAAAAGAACAGGAAT